ATATATATATATATATATATATATATATATATATATATATGTAAAACTGTTTCTTAGTCGCCTAACAGTCCTCTATAAGGAGAACAGTTCTTTTATATCTGTGCTGAAAAGGGGATTTAAAAGGCTTTGTCGGTTACTGAAAGAGATAAATATAAATTGCGTGATTATGTAAGTGAAATGATATAATTTTTGGTGGTCTCATTTAACCTTTTATTTTACTCTTACCTTAGAATAATTTGCAAATCAAAGAATTCATCCTTGGAAAGATGGGGCAAGCGGAAGTCAGCTCAATCTCAATTCTTCGTTACAAAATAATTGCAAAGAAATTTTTCATTAATCCGTGCTAAAGCTTTTAACTTTTTTCATATTCTATGTTTCAACCGCTGCAGGTGAAAGATCGTTATCCGCAAGAAGTGGATGATGACAATACTTTTTACTGAAAGTCCCTACGGGATAGCAGATTCATACTTCACTCTTGTCGGAGGCGGTTTGCAAGTTTTATCATTACAATCATCCATTCATGTTGCTTATTGATTTGTTAAATAAAGTACAAACATTGACTTCTGTTGTTTGCCACGATCTGAATAGTTTACATTGGTGCTCAAGTGCGTATGAAATACCATTTAGGAAAAGCCGTGATATCTTTCTGATGCCCCTAACTAGCTAGCTGGTTAGGGAAGCATTTTTAGCAGGATACGTATGAAAATAGAACGAAGGAATGGCAGTAGCAGGGACTGAGTTCCTTTTGTTGAAATATGATGTCAAGTTACTCCCGAAATTACTGATGACAATAGATTCCCGAAAGACAAGTGAAAAGTTTCTCCAGATTGAAACTTTTTTTATTTGAAATGAGTGCCTTTGAGATCAAAGATCATTGGGTGAAGTTCACTGAATGAGGGTCATGTTATGAGGGTGTAGATGTATCCCATTAGCATTGATCGATACACTACATTAAGTAACATCCAAATGGATTTGTTGGTAGTCCCGGAATGGGGTCAGTGGACTTTGGGGTTAGTTCAATTCAGCTATTGCTATAAATCAGTCGAAAAATAGATATTTTTTTTTTCTGATTGATTTATGGCAAGAAAAGTAGAGTATGGGAATGAAGACAAGATGTACTGAAAAAATATATATGAGACCTGATTTACGAAGTATTGAGGTTAGATAACACCATCATCAATTAACTGAAATTGGAGATAAATTTGAATTCTGTTTTATTCTTATAGGCCATTTGTTGGCTTATTCTCATGCTTCGAAGTCTTACGGTAACTGTTAAATCCTCTCTCATTATATATACTCTACACAACTCATATGTCTTATACTCCCCCTATCTGTTTTTATATTCTAGCATCGATCTGCAACAGCACTTTTCGATATACATATAAACCAGATATTTCTTCTCTTCCGATATATTCATATCATATAGTAGTTCATGTTTCGGTTTATTGGTAGGCTATTTCAGAATTTTTTGGATGATTATAAGCGAAATTTTCTATAACCAAAGTTACATTTTATGCGATCGAAATTAAGGAATTTCGGGATGCGATATAACAAAATACGAATACCTGGTTACCGTCAAATGATCAGGTATTTGTAACTCAATTTATCCATATCAATATTCAAGGAAAATCTCCATGATATCCTCAACACAATAATGAATTAATTAAAGTTCAAGTGCATGAGAAGATACACTTTATTGCATTCAATCGTCGAATCATTGCCTCCTGAAAATAACCTGATTTTGCTAGCCTGATAACTTTATTTCGATAATCTTTTTTCGAAATATAATTTAATCGTTCTGTTGGTTAAACAATAAAATGAAGTAAATCCTTTGATTTTTAATAAATCCTTCAGGTTATTTTCTCAAAATCTAACTTTTAACCATTGTAATTTATTTATACTACTATGCAAATTAATTTTATCAGTGAAATTATAATTTCAAATTATTGTCAATTATCGTTGAGCATTCCAAATATTACTTATGCAAATGATACGACATCACCTCATCAAACTTTAATAGACTTCGGCAGTTTAACAGATTGCATGACTGAGCAATGGCTGTGAAGTGACCAATACATATGGATCTTAAAGTTTCAAGAAGACTAAGAAGTTACACTAATCGTAGAAAATTGCCACCAATATGGTATGAATTAGTTAAGGAAAGTTAGCCACAGTACAAATGACCGATTCAAATATCAATTTGTACTGATAATTAACAAAAAACTTTAACACTTATTGTAGTGAAGTAATTTATCTAACTGTGTTAGCCTTAGATAATTGAAAAATCAAAATTTCCATTTTTAGATGATATATGTCTCATTACGGAATACGACCATGGTCAAAAAAATTTACAAATAAATTTTTTGAAAAATTTGTCAAATTTAAATATTGCGGCCAATCCGAATGCTCGTCGAGAAATTAAAATTTAGATGTATCACATTAGAATGATTGTAATTCCATTATATTATCAAATATTGAAGCAATCGAATTTTTTCGAATTCATTCATCAATGCATTCTTATACAAGAATAGACCTCTTACCCTTCTAGTATCATTGACATTTTTTCCTACACTTTTACTCTGTAATTATGCAAATTTTAAAAATTCACTCAGAAAAGGAAATGTGATGAAAATGCAAACGGAAATGTTAAAAATAAGAAAAAGTTGCAATTAGCAAGTCATTGATAAATCACGAATATATTGAAATGTTGTTCAATAAAAGACATAAATTACATCAATCATTTTATATCATTTCTACTTAAATATTTGAATTTTAAACTGAAAGAAACAAGTAATTTGGTGAATTTTTAAATTTTAATAAATTAGCATAAATTGATAATTTTGATTTAAAAAATAAAATAGAATGGGAATGCTTCTTTGATAACATGATTTATGTAAATGCGCCCATGAATGATAGAAGAAGTCTTTTCAATTCGTTCAAAACTACACAGTTAATTACAGCGGATATGTGGCAGTCACTAATTTCAAAAAGCTGTCATACATCAGAGATAATTGCTTCACATATTTTGTCA